AGTGGCAAGATAAATTGGATGCAATTTCAAGGCTATTAAGTGCTGATACTGGATCAGGGGACAGTGGCCAGGAAAAGAAGAGGAAGGAGAGAAAGGGGAAAGGAAACGAGAGGAGAAACAATGAAGCCAGGAGAAAAGGCAGCCACGCACATGGTAGGCAATGATGAGAGAAAAGACCTTAGGGGTTGGCCACACTGTCTCAACTGGGGCGGAGGCTGCTTTCCGCTGGCTCTGTCTCCTACCCACTAATACCACGAGGTTGCCACAGCCTCCACACAATCCTTTCGATGAGCCAGCTCTCATCCTTGTAATATTTGACCTGTTGAAGGCCAAGCAAAAAGGCGCCCGCCCCATGTAGCACAGATCTTTCCCCAGCTAGCGCTGCCGTTTGAGACACATGAGCTATGTTAGAGTTTTTGCATATTAAGTGGCCTCTTGGAATTCCTTCTCCTAAGGCGCTCATTGACACAAGGACATATTTTGGATCTTCAAACAGTATTTGGTGGAAATGGCTTGCTTTTACCCTACTGCTGCCTGCACGGTTTCTTTCCCACCAAGACTTGCAGAGCTCCATTTCCAACGTTGGCTAACTTTTTAGACGGTCACCTCAGGTCACTCTTTCCTCTTCCTATACCCACCCCATCAGACTGGCGGTCTTCAGAAGACCTTTACATTCCCCTCCATCACTGGGAGGGCAGGGTCTACTGCTAGCGATGCACTCCCGCTCTCCACGAGTCTCCTCCAGCAGCAGATATATGGGACCAGCCATGTTTCCTGTCCGGCCTGTAAGGGTTCCAAGAGAAGTAAGTATGCCCGCTACCCAGTCTCTACCTCACTTCAGACCCACCTCAGTTCTGATTTAATGCAGGTAGCTTCCCAGATGTAATGAGATGCCTGGACTTGGAAGCTGGGACTCGATCTCCGTAGACACTGGCCCTGGAGACATATTCTTACAGTCCAGAGAGGAAGGAGGTCTGAGCAAACCCCACCCTTTCACAGGCACTCAGTTCCCTTTTTTTGTTTCCTGACTTAAACCAATGCCTTTTTTCTTTTTAGCAATATGGTATCTGGTTCCGTGCTGCTCTCCCTATTCTAGTCCCCCCCAACTCTTCCCTCCCTCATTTGCCTGGGACCTCTTACACTGATAGAGTCGAGCTCTGAGAGAACCTTACCTTCCCTGGGGTTGCTGAGTCCCCTGAGATGATGGGGCTGGACAGAACAAACAGGTCATCAGACTACCCTCCCTGGGGTAAAGGGATGACATACCTAAAGGACTGTGGGGGATGGATGATCCGCACAGGAAGAAGAGAGATGCCCAAGTTGGCAAGACACCAAACAAAGCCAGTGTCTTTAAGGTCTCCTGTCTCCTCAGGAGGGGCTACTCAGGGTCATGCAGTTCGACTTGAAGGACAAAGAGGGCTCACTCAGAGACCCTGAAATACATAGCCTGAGGTAGAGACAAGACTTCCCCTGCTGAGTCATTTTCTAAGAAAGCTCTTTTTTTCTACAGATAAATATGCCTGAATGTGAGCCGACACAAAGACTTGTGCCCTTCCCCAATTTTTTTTTGGTGAATGTTCTTTTGCAAATAATTCTTCCTTCAAGATTCAACTTTACGAGCTGAGCCAGGAGGAAACTCAATTGGAATCAAGCTACTAGGGTGATGGATGCTGGACCATCACAAGTTCAAAGCCTGGACGACATAGGAGATTCTGTCTTGGTATTTTTTTCTCTCTGAGATTAACAATTAACAGCATTTTCTTTGATTCAGTAAAGCAGTAAACAAGACTAGATAGGTTACTTGAAGCCTGACTGTTCTCAGCAGGCCCCTAGTTTGTATCCCAGCTTCGGTCTTCTCCCAGGGGATTCTCAAAAAAAAAATGCAGTCAGGGTCTGCCACATGATGGTGGCAGAGGCCCTAGTGTCTGATTTCCTTGTCCATCTTCACTCATGGGGCACTTTCATATTGCCTTACCCTGAGATGCTATACCCTAATACAGAAACATATCACTGATGCCCAAAATTGGTCTGAATTTTGAAAGCACCAGATTTTGTTTAAAGCATTTATAGAATGGCAGATTGGTAAATCATTCCACTGGTATAGATGGATGGTAAATCATTCCACTGGTATAGATGGATGGGCACCGAGTATTATGTGGCTCTCTCTACTTTATTGATGAGTTATGTCCTTTCCCTGGTCACATGCAGTAACTGTTCCAGTCACCAATGGAGTGACCACAGACATTCACCATCCCTCCCTTTTTCTTCAGTCAGATGTCCCTTGTCACATGTTCCATTCATTTGGGGTGGGAATTGCAAATTAGTAGGAGCACTGTGGGAAATTAAACAGGGAGGCAAAGGGGAAAGGCAGATAGAGCTGCTTCTGCACCCTTTGCTCATAACCACTCATCTAGCACACTCATTCATACCAACAGGGCTATGCCCAAACAGTGCCAACAAATAAGCTAGCATAGACTCAAATGTCTTCCAGAGGGCGGACCAGCAAGATGATCCAGCAGGTGAAAGCACTTGCTGCCAAGCCTGACGACCTGTGTTCAATACCCATAGAGGGAGAGGAGGTGGCAGCAGGGCTTGTGAAAACACTACTGGACTTTGCGGATAGCATCCGAGAGAAATGGCAAGTCAGAAACATACACGACTGAGAGAAAAGTCAAGATGACATAGGGCTTTTCGTTTGTGTTTGTTTTGTTTTTCGAGACAGAGTTTCTCAGTGTAACTTTGGAGCCTGTCCTGGAACTGGCTTTGTAGATCAGGCTGGCCTTGAACTCACAGAAATCCGCCTGACTCTGACACTTGGCTTTTTTAAAGATAGAAATAATATCTCTAGAAGAAAGTGAATGTCTCACACACTGTGCAATGCCAGACTATACCTAGAGTCTTGTCTTCAGTTCTGAGTGCTTCATTTTGGAGCAATTAATGAGCAGAGACATGTAGAAAAGAAAACAGTTGCGGAACAGATTTTGAACTATAAGATGAGTAATTTCTTGTGGTCTAATATGCCATATGGAGGCTGTAGTAATATTCTGCTTCTTATTTGAAATTGGTAAGAGAGCAGACTTAAGTGTCTTACCTCTACACACACACACACATACACACACACATACACACACACACATACACACACACACACATACACACACACGCACAGGCAATAATGCATGGTGACAGATGTGTTAATTCGACTGTGGCAGTTATTATACAAGATGGATATATATCATCACATTGTATACCTTAAACAAATGTGATTTTGTCAATTAAATATTTTAAAATATTCCCCAAACCACATCACATGGGGAACGATTAAAGGAACAAAGTTTGATTAGATGAAGGCTAATTGTCTTTATATCTCCAGATTACTTACATGGAAAACAAAACAAACAAACAAAAAACTTTAGAAATTCCCTGAAGACCAGTGAGATTTTTAAGAGTCTAGAGTGAAGAAAATATTGCTGGACTTCAAGCTGGCAGCTTGCCAAACACATGGAGCAGGCTATCTTGTTATTATTATCTTAGCCCTGGGCTACCCAACAAAAATGTGGGAGAACAAAGAGTCAACTTGTTCCTGGAGTGTTATGCAAGCAGATGTTCCAGGGCTCCTAACTTTAGCTCCCAGGCCACTGCAGCTGCCTCCTGCATGTAATACACTGGTTAAGGGTAGGCCTATATAGCGTCAAATGGCCTAAGATCGAATTCCAACTTCAAAAATAACCATGTGTGTGACTTTGGATAAGTGAATGTAATGCCTCATGTGCCTCAGTTTCCTCATTTGGAAAATACTACTAATAGTAAACAGCTCCTGAAGACTGGCAGGATTAAAAGAGGCAGGCATCCAGACATGGTGGCACATTGCATGTACCTGTGGCCCTCACCACTCAGGAAAGAGATTGGAAGTTCACAGCCATCTTCAGCTACATACGTGAGTTTATGGTCAGTCTGGGATCTGTGAGGCCCTCACTGCCCCCAAAGATAGCTGTTATAATATGCAAGGCATAATGGTAAGATTATGTGATAGCAAAAGGAAACCAGGTTCTGGAGTCAGAATACATGAGGGGTGGGTGGGCATCCTGAATCCACTACTGCGGACACTGGACAAATATTTTTTCCCTTTTTTAAAATTTAAATTAGAAACAAGCTTCTTTTACATGTCAATCCCAGTTCCCTCTCCCTCCCCTCCTCCCTTGCCCCCCACCAACCCCCTATCCCATCCCCTTTATGCTCCCCAAGGAGGGTGAGGCCTTCCATGGGGGATATTCAAAGTCTTGAACCAATAATTTTTATATGCCACTGGACCAACGCCCTCCCTCCCCTGGTAGTGGAAGTTGCATTACCACCTTCCTCCTAGAGTCACTCTGAGGATCTGTTGTAAAACTTAGCTCCCTTCAGCCTTTCTCTGTTGGACTATCTTGGTACTTCACACATGTCCATGTCCGCTGCCAAGTATTCAAGGAAGTGAAGTGCAGAGGTATGTTTTCTTGGTTGCCTCAACTATTTCAGAGGCCAGATAAATTCGTTGTCAGTTTTCAGAACTAAGATCAGCCAGATAGATACATTGTCAGTTTTCAGAACTAACATTGGCCAGACAGAGTCTTTGTCAGTTTTCACAACTAAGATCAGCCAATTTACTTCTTCGGCTAAAAGGTGCTACTTTCATTGTTCTTTTTCTTCCAAGTACTTAGCCTGGAATTGGACAGCGATGAGCACAACAATCAATCACTATGTCCTGCTCCTACAACCGTGCCTGAAACAGAATACACATTAAATAAACGAACTGACGCGATTGGCTCCCTTCCAGGGCTTCCTTGAGCCACAGTTTGCTGTGAAAGATCGTTTCAATCCCCTTGAAGTGGAACAAGAATGCTAGGCTGAGATGGAACACCCCTCCACCTGACCCTAGTCCCTGCTCTGCTCCAACATGGGAGGTCAGAGTCTCGGAAGAACATTGCTTTCTTCGCTTAAGCTAACAAATTGCAACGTCCGCCAAAAGGGGTGGAGTAATGAGGTTGCAGGGTGCTGGGCGGGAGGAAGTGGAGGAGACAGCCAGACTGCAGGCGCAGCCTTGGCTGAAGCGCTTGCTGGCTGCTGAAACAGATCATCCAGCCATCCGAGGGCGCTGTGCTGGGATCTTTACAGACTCTATGATAGCTGTCTCCCACGGCTCGGAGGAAGTGCACCCAGGCACCTCCTATAAACTTCCGTCGCTGGCCTTCCCTCTTTCTTTCTGTGCCGATATCGCTCCCGCCAACATGGTATGATCGTGTGTTGGGGTTTCGTAGTATCCAGCTTAATCCTCGCACTTGGCGTGGACAGTACTGTCCCAGAGTGCATCAAGGCTCCCGCAAGACCTCGATGTACCTAAGAAATCTAGCATTGCCGAGAGCGACACATAAGGGAACCGAGTTATGGGCGGAAAAATTCAAGTGCCGGGGTGATTTGGCTGTGGGTGGATACACTGTTGGATGGAGTGTGTGACTGGACCAACTTTTAGATGTACACGGTCGTTGTGTTTTAGCGAGTAGTTGCAGAGTTAATCAGCTTCATCTGGATCCAGGGAGGATGCTGGGCCACTGTGCTCCGGCAACTGCGCGTTCTGAACACTTTGTATTTTTACTAGGTGAACGTTCCTAAGACCCGCCGGACGTTCTGCAAGAAATGTGGCAAGCACCAGCCCCATAAAGTGACACAGTACAAGAAGGGCAAGGACTCTTTGTATGCCCAGGGTGAGCTGCTTATATGTAATTTGGCGGGGGTTAGGGGACGGTGTGGGGAGTTGGTGGGAGATGCTGTGTAAACCAAGCTGGCCTGGAATAAGCAATCCTCCTGCCTCAGCCTCTAAAGGACTGGGGTTGTGCCTGTTTCCTGCCATGCCAGAATGAATAATTTGGTTTTGATGTGACATTCATGAGACATATTACAACTCCAGGTGTCTACCCCCTTTCCTTGGGTGCGACTAAAATTTCTTAATGCAGGTCGGGCCCAAATTTACACTTAAGACTGTTCCACTCAGCTATTTTGACATGCTCTGTAGCACATCATAACAAATAACTTTTTCCAGGAAAGCGGCGTTATGACAGGAAACAGAGTGGCTATGGTGGGCAGACTAAGCCTATTTTCCGGAAAAAGGTTAGTGATTACTAATTGATTTGTTTATTTCTTTTTGTTTGTTTGTTTTGAGGCAGGGTTTCTCTGTAACTGTACTGACTGTCCTGGAACTCACTTTGTAGACCAGGCTGGCCTCGAACTTACAGAGATCCACTTGCCTCTGCTTCCCAAGTGCTGGGATTAAAGCTGTGCACCACCATTGCCCGGCTTGTCATGCTTCTTGATTATTGTGGTAAGGCCCTTGCATTTGCCATCTCTTTTCTACAAACATTACTATAGTGTTAAAACCAGCAATGTTACTGGACTTGTGGCAGGATGTTTCTAAGGCAGTGGAGCTGGGAGTCAACCCAGATCTGACTAAGGTCTGTAGAGTGTAGGGAGCATCTCAGTATTTACAATAGCTCCTAGAGAGGCTAACATGAAGGAATGTGCCCTTTCCTAAGAACTGAATTATGTGCACTCCTGCAAGACTTTCCATTAACGTATTGTGTCTGCATCTTTGTGGACAGAGGCTTAGTGGTAGAGTGCTTGCCAAGTATGAGCACCCCAGGTTCAATTCCCTGTACTGCCATGAAAGGGCACATTCCTTCATTTTAGCGTCTTTGGGAGCTATTGTACTGAGATGCTCCCTACACTCTACAGACTTTAGTCAGATCTGGGTTGACTCCAGTCCTGTGAAGTCTTGAAATTCCTTATAGTAAGTGAATAGGCCTTTCCACCGCTCCAGTTTAATGAGGTTCCTTCTTTAGGTTCAGCTATTTAGCAGTGTCCTGGAACATAGCATTTCTTACTCATCTCTGTTCCTCTGCCAAGGCTGGAGAAATTAAATGACTTCTCTGGGGTCCTGGATTGGGTGTAGGGTAATGAGAATGCTGCTTCATTTAGATGTCCAGCTAGTTTGCTTGGAAAATGTGTGTTACAGCTTTCAAACTGTAAAATAGCAACAAAACTCTGGTTAAAATAGTGGACTTCAGTTAATTATTAGAGGGGAGTGAGTAACTGATCTTAGGCTAATTGAATTCTTTAAAAAAAACTGATGAATTCCAAAAGTTGTATTTCGTACTTGCATGAATTTGGCTCAACCACTAAACAATACAAATATCTTGAAAGGCTATAAATTCATAGCAGCTTTTGGGGGTGTGTGGGGACAATCTCATGTAGCCCAGGCAGGTCTCAAACTCATTGTCTGCAGCTTATCTCCACCTCAAGAGTGCTGGGAATACAGGCAGGTACAACTGCGGTTTTGTTACTATTTTAAGTTCTCAAAATCATTGGCTTCTCAATTTTTCCCCTCCATAGCTAAATGGTAAAATAATTTTGTGAAGGATTTGACTTATTTCTTTTGTAGGCTAAAACTACAAAGAAGATTGTGCTGAGGCTTGAGTGTGTTGAGCCCAACTGCAGATCTAAGAGGATGCTGGCTATTAAGAGATGCAAGCATTTTGAACTGGGAGGCGATAAGAAGAGAAAGGTACCCTCCTTTTTTGTTTGCTTTGGTTTTGTTTTTTTGAGACAGTTTCTCTGGCTTTGGAGGCTGTCCTGGAACTAGCTCTTGTAGACCACCAGCCTGGCCTTGAACTCCCAGAGATCTGCCTGCCTCTGCTTCCCCAGTGCTGGGATTAAAGGCGTGTGCCACCACTGCCCAGCTGTATCTCCTTTTAAATAATAGCTTCATTTGTAAAGGTAACTGTGCCATAGGGCACCATCCAAGAGAATTGTCATAGCTGAAGGTACATATACTGTTTGAAATGCTTGAGAGCAGAAGTTTTAAGGTTAGGTTTTGTTTTTCAGATTTGAATTTTTCATATGCTTTATTAGCTGAAAAATCTGAAGTCTTGAATACCAGCATGTCTAAATGGCTTCAGGGTTGCAGTATATAGATTTTGCTGTAATTAGGGAAGAGACAACATGGTCTCCTTACAAGTGTTTATGTTTACCAGGGCCATGGTAGGCATGTATCCCGCTAAGCTGTGTGTTGAGCTCATGAATAAAGTAAGGTTCATTAAAAACTAGAAAACAACACTTTGTTTTTCTGTTCTGTTTACAGGGCCAAGTGATCCAGTTCTAAGCTGATCGTGTTATGAAGACAATAAAATCACAATAAAAGAAACTTGCCTCGTTGTGGTTCGTCTTTTGGGAGGGAATAAACTAAAGTTATTGAGAAATTCCCTGAAAGTTCCTGCTTCATGGCTTAATACAACTTTAGGATTAAACTTTGTTGAGCTGGTGTGAAATGTGACTTGTCATTGGGATCCTGCTTACAGTTTAAAATCCATGAGTTAACTGGCTATCATAAAATCCCAAATAGAGACTTTTTAATGTCAAGGTATTCTAGGCCAGTAACATGTAGAATGATTATGTAACTTTCAGTCTTACATAGCTTTGCTACTTCAGGCCTTTAGTAAGGAGATGTGACTATGTTTTCAAGGCAGGAGAGTACTGCAATGTGTGTTACTGGATTTTAGATTTATGTGCTTTAAACATCCTGACACAGCCACAACAAACCCACCTTGTGGGTGCTAGGAATTAACCTGGGTCCCAGGGAAGAGCACCTGCTGCTCTTAACCTGCTGAATCAGCTCTCATGTCTGGGTTTAACTTTAGCATGAATGAGTGTAGGGGGGACAGAAACCAACTTTTTGAAAGTTGATTCTCCCACCAAGGGTTCCAGGCCATTAAGCTTTTCCTGAAAATTATCTGCCGCCTTTAGTATTGCAGGTAGGTGTTTTTACACCATTTTGTGCACATTAAAAATACCAGAGGTATATATGTTTGCTTATGATTTATGTGTGTGGTTTGAGATTTTTACATATCTCTGGCTGGTCTATTTTGGCAATCCCCCTTCAGCTTTCTGATTGCTGTGTTGCATATATGTTCAACTGCTTGGTGAGAGGAGTAGTTAATGGGAGAGCAAAGGAGCAGTCTTGAAATCTTGACCACAAGTTTGTTCTCATGGATTAGTGTCTAATTTACTTGAAACTATGGACTTGGTCGCTGGGGCAGCTCATCATTGGGTTAATGTGCTGCCTCCATGCACAGCCCATCACCTGGCATTTCTTAAATCCTTCAATTGACCTCGCCTAGTGATCTGTGTAGTTGGCTTGGCTTTGAATCCTGGCTCTGGGTGTTAGAGGGGTGACGCAGTGGTTCCAGGGGATCCTATGTCCTCTTCTGACTTGCTGGGTACCACGCATGCATATGGAGCACATATACGCATGTAGGTAAAACAAATTCAGAAATAAGTCTTTTCCTGGCTCTACTGAATCTAGTGGATAAACACTTGCTCAGCCTTATGAGGGCTAAAATGAACACACCTGAAGCATCTGTTACAGTGCTTGGCACAGGAGTACCCACTTTAGTTCAAAAGCCTTTCCAATAAACCTTGAGGGGTAGCTTTAAAGGCAATGACTTTGGGATGCTTTATTTAAAGGGGAAACAAGAAAGAGACAGGAAGTAGTTCAGTCCTTGGCAAAACTGGCCATTTAATGTACATGCCTGCCTTTAGTTATGGTCTAGTCGAAGCAGAACAGTGCCCGAGGGATTTATTCGAGTTTTTAAGGTTACGGTCCATTCATAGAAGCCTAGCTTTACTTTCTCAGGGAGGAGCTGTGTGATGATGCAACCAGGATGGCAGGCTATTCCATGACCCAGGGAAGCCACCTGGATGCTGTAGAAACGAGGTCCACCAATTTCCTGCAGGTTTCTCACAGCCACAGCCCAGGCTAAATTTGAGAGTGGTCGTTCCCAAACCTCAATGTTGTTTTCCTGAAAAGTCAAGAGAAAAGTGTGAGCAAGTGGGAAGCCACTACTGGCCTTATTGGATACTCAGCCTTCTTGTCAGAGCTATCACGTACTTGGAGGAAAAATAGTACCCAGCAGTATATGTCCACTGTTAATCTCAGCACTCAGAGGCAGATCTCTGAGTTCCAGGCCAACCTGGTCTCCAGAGGGAATTTCAGGACAGCCAGGGCTACATAGAGAAACCCTATTTTGAAAAGCAAACAGAAAGACTTAATCCACGAAAGCCCATCAAAAAAGACCTAATCCACCAAGCCCATACTTCTGGGAAAGTCTAAATGTACTGACCTTTCTTTTTGACTCCTGTAGTGAGTTCAATGAGTTCAGTTTTTTGTTATGTACTGACCTTTCTTTTTGACTCCTGTAGTTAATTCAGTTTTTTGTTTTTTGTTTTTCCCTTTTTCGAGACAGGGTTTCTTTTGGAGGCTGTCCTGGAACTAGCTCTATAGACCAGACCGGCCTTGAACTCGCAGAGATCCACCTGCCTCTGCCTTCTGAGTGCTGGGATTAAAGATGTGCGCCACCAGCGCGGGCGTCAGTTCAGTTTTGTCTAACATTTTGTTGACTGAAGTATGTCAACCCAGGATATGTTTTGTTTATGCTTAGAAGCTCACTGGTTAAAGGCTTGGGGCTACACTGGGATGCTGAACTTTTTAATCTCAGCATTCGGGAGGCAGAGGTAAGTGAATCTCTGAGTTGGAGGACAGCTAGAACTACACAGAGAAACTCTGTCTTCAAAAACCAAACCAAAACATAAAAGCTTTCTATTGGCTTAAGCCTTGTCCTTCTCTGATGGACACCCTGTAACAAGCATGTTGGCAGAGCTAGTTCCAGGACAGTCAGGGCTACACAGAGAAATCCTGTGTTGGAAAAACAAAAAACAAACCTAGTGGTGGTGTCACACACCTTTAAACATAGCACTTGGGAGACAGGACGCAGGCAATCTGTGAGTTCAAGGCTAGCCTGGTCTATAGAGCTAGTTCCAGGACACATGCAGAAGCTATACAAACAGAAAATCAAAACCCCCAGTAATAGTTCTGGCAAAGTCTTACTGTTTAACTACTCAGTCTCAAGCTCAAGGGAAAAATAATAGAAAAAGCCAATCATTTCTTCATGCAGTACAGTTAGACTCAAGATAATTTGGCACTTCGTGTTAAAAAGCCATAGAAAATACCGCAAATCATAAACTCGCAGGCAGGATAGGATATTACTGGCCAGTTTTCTCTCAGGAAGCTTTACTTACCTTTCTAAAACAGTACCCCTGCTTGCCCAAGGGGTCTTGGTTGACAGCAATTACATCCTTATTCTGAAGGAGGGCTTTGGCTTGAGGGCTGATTTGCCGGAGATCATTGGACATGAGTAGAGGAGCTGCCATGATAGCCCAGAGGGCCATCTGAGTTACCTGCTGGTCCCAACTCAGGCCAAAGTTGCCAATAACTAACTAGAACAAAGTGTGAAATCACTGAGATGAGAGAAGATTCAACTGCTTGGGTTTTTGTTGTCTGTTGAGGGCACAGAGGTCCTTGAACTCACAGAGAAGCATTAAGGAAAACCAGGAATGCTTTTAAACACATAGATAAAATACCTGCTTTCCTGCCCAGAAGGCTGGGAGTGGATTTTAACAAGCTGGCAACCTTTCCGCCATCTATGGAGGCAGACCTCACCCTATCCCAGACTCTTCCCTCCCTAGACCATCACCCAAGGGGATGTCACACGTGCTTTATGACCTGCTGATCTCTATGCTATCTTGGTCAGAGACCACATTATATTCTAGGCCTTTTAGCTATAGAACCCACCCTCATGGTCACATGTACACTGTAAAGAGTCTCTATGTAGTCACAGCTTAAGCTTCATTGTGCACCTGGAATTGGACTGATTGTTGCCTGGAAACCTTTTCCCAAGGTGTACTGTGTTTTAAATGTGCTGACAGTGAACCGCCTGGCATTAGACTCCCCGAAGTCTGACCCATGCTGAGGAAGTCAATCTGCATGGGGTTTTCATTCTCATCTCTTTGCGGGTTCTCTTCTCTGACCGGATACCCGCAGGGACCCAGGTATCTGGTCTCCTGACTCAGTTGCTGCTTTTTCTTTTTTCTTTTGGAGAGAAGGTTTTATTAGTCCAGGCTAACCTTTTGGCCTTGAATTTGGAGCCACTCTCCTTCCTCAGCCTCGGGAGTGCCGAGACTCCAAGCAGCTACACAAGACCTGTTGGAACATTTTAAAGCTTTCCTAGATGGTCGACTGAGAGAACCCATTTTCCACAGCACTGTGATGTAAGTGCTCACCAAAAGCCTCTCCCGAGGGCAGAGTGTGTAGCTCAGTGCTAGAAACCCTGCTTGGTTTGTGCTAGCCCATGGTTTCAGAGTCAGCCACCAAGAGAAAAAAAAAAGCTACCATCTCTAATGAGGAGTGCTCAGATCTTTACCATATCTGGGTCATTCCAACCCCCTGGTCCAGCGACGTCAACAATCTCCTTCTGGTTAGTTGTTGTCCAGGCCAAGATATTCTTTATGCTTTCCCAGGAATCATAAACATCATCAAAATTTCTCCAGTGATTGCAGTAATATTGGATATCTGTATAATTGGGCTGTAAAAAGACAGAATTGTTTATAGACGTAACTTTGCTATGAGATCCTAACAATCCAGTTTAAAGGAGGCACTGATGGCCTCTATAGTCTAAAGATCAAACATCTCCCCATAACAAATAACAAAGGCTGACCATCTTTTGGAGTTCTCAATGTAAGGGAATTTCTCTAGAAGATGTTCAATTCGTAAATAGGCCATATAATTTAAGTGTCTGTTTACAGTGACTTTAATACTATTTATGTAGACATGAACTAAACAGTGGTGTCTAGGTACTGGCCTTATAAAAGAACTTTGTTTTCACTGGAATTTGTAAACTAGCGTAAAATGGCATATTTCAATTTTTTACAATAAAATAATAACAATGACCTAAATGAGTAAAAATAAGGTTTGTAAAATTATATAAGACGCCATCAAACATGACAAAATCTGAAACTGAGACAAACCATTTGTGGAATGAATCAAGTTTGTAGATATGTAGGTGTCATAGGGACTATCTAAAAATCACAAGAAAATAATAGGGATTCGACTCATTCCATAAATACTAATTCAAGTTACCATATGCTAGTAATACAGTGAGAAAGACCTGCCCTCCTGGATTTACATTCTAGCGGGGAGATGACAAACAAGTAAACAATAAAGGTAAGCTCTTACAGGAAACCAAGCAGCTAATGACTAGAGAGAGAATGGGCAAAAGGCTATTTATTTATTTATTTTTGGTGTTTTTCGAGACAGGGTTTCCCTGTATTGTTTTGGAGCCTGTCCTGGAACTCACTCTGTAGACAAGGCTGGCCTTGAACTCACAGAGATCCGCCTGCTTCTGCCTCCCGAGTGTTGGGATTAAAGGCGTGCGCCACCAACGCCCGGCTAAAAGGCTATTTTAAAGTAGAGAAGACCGAGTTTGTAGCATTTGGTCAGTAACCAACCCTTTTAAAATCTTAGGGGAAGACTTGGCGGAAACAATAAGCAAATACATCATCATAGACTAACATCAAAATGCCTTTGGGTGGCACTTGCACAGTGAATATCGGCCAATGCTGTAAATAGGGCATGTGACTGACAGACAGAAGTGCAGCAAGGGGAAGAGTTGTTGGAAGGCAGAGGCAGGTTAATGGAGTTTGATTTTTTTTCCAAGTGCAAAGGAAAGCCAGTTAAGTTTTAAGGAGGGGACTGATGGCATGCCCTTGACATTTCTCAGAAGACAGTTCTGCTGCTGCTTGTAAATGGTGGGGGTAGGGAAGACAGCAGAGATAAGAGATCAGGCTGTCAGAGCAGGCTGGGTGGAGATGGGAGTGGCCTGGAAGGCCATTGTGGATGTGGTGAGGATGACAGACATTAGTAAGTTCAAGATAGATTTTGGAGCGAATACTGGCAGGATTGTTGTCGAACAGGAAGGATATGAACTGTGAAATAAAAGGGAAAACAATCCAAGATGGTTTCATAGTTAGTGGAAGTTGAGACTATAATTACAATAAGCATTCTGAAATTTAGATCCTGGGCTCACTAACTCACCTTATGAAAGGGCTTCAAATAAAGAGGCCACTCACAGGAGTATACAATGCTTCTGCCAGTCCTATTCAAGGCCAAGGACATATACTTATAACCTGCATGAGAAAACAATGGGTAAAATAAGGGAAACAAGGCAATTTTCAGCTAGCGCGGAACATCTGAAGAGGCTACTTGGAAGGTCTGTGTTTATATTGTAGTTCTTGTCACTCTGCCTTGATCCTTCAGTTGATGTTAAGCAAAAGGTTGAAAAATGATTATGGTCTTCTCTCTCTCTCTCTCTCTCTCTCTCTCTCTCTCTCTCTCTCTCTCTCTCTCTCTCTCTCTCTCTCATTTTTCGAGGGTTTCTTTGTGTAACAGCCCCAGCTGTCCTGGAACTCACTCAGTAGACCAGGCTGGCCTCGAACTCACAGAGATCCACTTGCCTCTGCCACCCCGGTGCTGGCAATAAAGGCATACGCCACCACTACCACCTGGCCACGGTTGTATTTCTTGAAGAAAACACACTATTTGGGCTGGGGAGGTGCTTCAGCCAGTAAAGGCTGCCAACCCTGATGACCTGAGTTTGATCCCTGGGACTCACACAGTTGCAAGTTGTCCTCTGTCTTCTCAACAGGCATCATAGCACATACATTCCCACACATACACAGTCACACACACCATAATTTTTATTTTGTTGATTGTAACATAATTTTAAAAATAAATGTAATTAAAAAAAACATACCATCTGCCAAGGATGTCACACTGTCACAGTGGCAACCGTCAAATTTAAGCAGATCTACACCCCAGTCAGCAAATGTCTGGGCATCAGTGTCATAGTACCCAAAACTCCCAGGGAAACCTGCACAGGTCTTATTCCCAACATCTGCATAAATTCCTAGCTTCAATCCTTTGCTGTGGACCTGGAATGAGAAGAAAAATGGATCAGGAAGAAGTAAAAAAAAGGAGAGGGACTTACGAAGGCTAAGAGCAGAGATGTTTGCTGCTCTGGGTCTCCGGGGCTTGGTTCCTGAAACCACTCCAGTTTTGTAGCAGAGTTTCTTTTCTTTTCTTTTTTTTTTGAGACATGGTTTCTCTGTGGCTTTGGAGGCTGTCCTGGAACTCGCTTGGTAGTCCAGGCTGGTCTGGAACTCACAGAGATCCGCCTGCTTCTGCCTCCCGAGTGCTGGGATTAAAGGCGTGCGCCACCAACGCCAGGCTTCTAGCAGAGTTTCTTAGAAGCCGAGCACAAATCCTCTGACTCTGCTAAGAAAGTTCTAAGTATACATGGTGAACTGTAGCACAGAAGTAAGGAAAATGCTATGGCCACTTTAATATTCCTCATGGGATCCCAAATAGCCTCTTTCCAAAACTGGAACAGATTTATCTTGAGAAAGGCTGACATTTCAGTTAAGCCTCTCTAAATCTCCTCCTGTCTTGGCCTCCATGCTGTCTGTCTGGATGAGATCATTTATGGCAAGAATCCTGCTAAGTTATACCATCCCCTGATTCTTTTTTAAAAATAATTTATTTAACTTTATTTTATGTGCATTGGAATTGGAATTACAGACAGTTGTGAGCTGTTATGTAGGTGCTGGGAATTGAACCCAGGTCCTCTGAAAGAGCAGCCAGTGCTCTTAAACACTGAGCCCAGCCTCCATCCCCTGATTCTTGATGTCTCCTTTAAGCGGTATTTGCATATTGGTTGTAGATTCTCCCTTGTCCATTCGGATTGGAACTTGACCCTTTTTCCTGAATAAAACCTGCTTAATTGCCTTTAGCTAGTATCAGACTTCATTTGTCTTCAGTAGTTCCCTGGAATGTTTGCTTTCATCTTTTAAAATTCATTAATGGTATAACTGTGGTGGCCTCTCATGCTGCTTTGGAGATATAAGCATGCTCAACACAACCAAACTCTTCTTTTCTCTAGAGAATTCAGCGGCTTCAGGAAAAAAGTTTCAACAAGACAGGCCTCAGGAGCTACTGTAAAATGTGTACAGGCTGACATGACGATAATCCTATCTGGTAAGCATTACAATTTACTGTTCAGATAACAGCAATCATTCTATTTCTGAAGTATCACGTGGCCTGTTTCTCAATAAGCTTTTGTAAGTGCACACAGACCCATAAATAAACGGTCAGCTTTAAACTCACATAATTAGCTAGGTGCTGGATTCCATTAGGAAAGCGCTGGGGATCTGCCTGAAGTCGGCCCTTTGAGTCCCTTTCAGGAGCCATCCAACAGTCATCTATGCAGAGGTATTCATAACCTGCGTCCTTCCAGCCATCAGAGACCATGAGCTCCGCCATCTGCATGAACAGTTGCTCACTGAAAAAGAAATTCCAACAGTCATTCCAATTCATTGGGATGTTATAGTTTCTAAACATGCAATGGTACTGTGGTAGTAAGCACAACACATCTGAGGGAAAATCCTTCCTCTTACTCCTCTCTCTCTCCCACCACGATCTCTTCCCTAGAACTCACAGAAGGGGTGGGGCCCTCAGTTCTCTCCCTAACCCCAAAAGAACTCAACAAAACCTCCAAATAATTAAAATAAGAATGAGATACATGACAAAAGTGGCAGGTTATTACAACCAAGAACTTGTGGTGACACAGGTTTATAATCCCAGCTATTGAGGAAAGCGAAGCTAGACAATTTGCAGGTCCAAGGCCTGCCTGGCCTATGTATGACTAGAGGAACGCCAGCAGGGGAAGAGTTAGCATGAGTTAGCATACTAGACAGCTTCTTCTGGTACCAGCTTTCCCTGTGTAGATGTAAACAATCTCATTCACAATGGTACAGAAATAAACAGAAAGAGCTAAGACACCTAGGAGTAATATGTTTATCAACCATATGCTAAAACTATCATGCTCCTCAGTAACTTGAATAAATGGAGAAACATGATGTTACTCTTGGCGAGGAAAACCTTGAACAAACCCCCAAAAAGACGTTTGAAGGAATTTGCAAAAGATTTGAAAAGCTCACCTGAAAGATGAAATGTTTATGTTTTGTAATAGAAAGGAAGCTACTGTAACATGGCATTAGAATACAAAGATTACTATAATTCAAGACTTCAGAAAGAGATCCACCCATCTCATGCCACGAGTCTTCTAGCTTCCCCAAATACAGGGTTTCACCACCATCACCTTCCTTCTCTCCCTCCCTGCCTCCCCCCCCCCAGGATCTCTCTGTGTAGTCTTGGCTGTCCTGGAACTTGCTCTTTAGAGCAGACTGGCTGCAATCTCAGAGATCTGTCTACTTCTGTGGCTAATTAAAGGCATGTACTACCACTGTCTGGCTCACAAAAAAAACCCAAGCTCAATGGTGGCACATGCCTTTATTCCCAGCACTTGGGAGGTGGGAGGCAGAAGCAGGTGGATCGCTGAGTTCAGGGCCAGCCTGGTCTTCACAGTGAGCTCAGGGACAGCCAGAGCTCTTACATATAGAAATCTTGTATTGAAAAACCAACCAACCGAACAAACAAACAAAAATCCAAGCTCATCTTCCCCCTGGAGTGCTTTTTCAGTTAAACTGAGTCATTGTTTCCCATTTGCAAATTTACTCTTCACCCAAATAAAATGTTATTTGTCTTTTATGTTAACTTTATGATTTCTTGACATAAGACTCCAAAGCCAGGAATAGCGAAAGAATTGATAAGTCACATTATATGAATATCAAAATAACTCAGTCAAAAATTAAACATATGCTGGGCGTTGGTGGCACACGCCTTTAATCCCAGCACTTGGGAGGCAGAGGCAGGCGGACCTCTGTGAGTTCGAGGCCAGCCTGGTCCATAGAGCGAGTTCCAGGACAGCCTCTAAAACAATACAGGGAAACCCTCTTTCGAAAAACAAAACAACAAAAAAAGAAGAATCAAACATATTTGCAATATATACTAAACCCAAACCAAATGGAATAAAAGAAAAACTCAGATGATGTAGTTAAATAGGGTAATGACAAAATGGGGGGATTCATGGAGGAAACAGTTCAAGGAGTGGATTTAAAGTAGGAAAAGACAGTCAGCCTCCTTAGTAATTATATTTCCTAACATGTTAAATCCTAGGTTCAAGTCCCACAGCAGCAGAAAAACGCATAAATAAAATACAAAGCAGGGAGCTGGAGAGATGGCTCAGAGGTTAAGAGCACTGGCTGCTTTTTCGGAGGTCCTGAGTTCAATTCACAGCAACCACATGGTGGTTCACAACCATCTATAATGAGATTTGGTGTAAACATGCCAGAACACTGTATACATAATCAATAAATCTTAAAAAAAACAAACAAAGGGGATTGGCAAGATTTAGAAGAATGACAAAATTTAGGTTTGGACACATTGCTGGGAAACAGGCATTCTTACAAACACCGTTGTGTACATATATCTTCAAAGTATTTGGATTTGACTGATATTATCAAAATGAGCATATCTTTGGAACCTAAAATTAGTGTTCTAAGAAAAGAATGGAGCTTGGCCTGTTGTGGTGGCTCATGCCAGTGATCTCAGCACTTGAGAGGCTTAGAGTTCCAGACCAGTCAGGTCCACAGAGTCAGACCTTTTTCATTAAAAAAGAGAATTAAAGAAAAGAAATCAGGTCAGAACAGGATGCCCCAAAATTGAAGAATTCAAGTAGCTATACAGAGGACTGCACAAATAAATTATAGCATATACAGATATTTGCATTTATCGACATCTTATCTGTACCAGGCACTATACTCTGCACTGTTTTTTTTTTTTTTTTGGTTTTACGAGACAGGGTTTCTCTGTATTGTTTTGGAGGCTGTCGGTCCAGCCCGGCCTTGAACTCACAGAGATCCGCCTGCCTCTGCCTCCTGAGTGCTGGGATTAAAGGCGTGCTCCACCACCACCCGGCTACTCTGCACTTTTTTTTGAGGTCACATGTATGTATCCCAGGCTGGCCTCAACCTCGGGCAGCATAGAATGGACTTGAACTTTTTTTTTTTCGATACAGGGTTTCTCTGTATTGTTTTGGAGGATGTCCTGGCACTCGCTCTGTAGAGCAGACTGGCCTTGAACTCATAGAGATCCGCCTGCCTCTGCCTCCTGAGTGCTGGGATTAAAGGCGTGCACCACCAACGCCTGGCTCATGCCTGCTCCTCCCTCCTGAATACTGGAATCTAAATGTGCACCACTATTCTCAGTTTGCAAGACGATTGCGATCAAACCCCATGACTTTGTTGCATGCTAGGCAAACATTGTACCAACTGAGCTACATCCCCAGCCCAAATTAGAAAAAAATAATTAAATTGGATATGATCTTGCATGCCTATAACCCCAGCAAATAGGAAGTGGTGGCAAAAGGATCTCCAGTTCAAGACTATGCTGATCCACATAGGGTAACCATGATCCCAATATCCAAGGACAAAGAATTCAGCTCAGTAGTAGAGCACTTTCCTAGTACGTGCAAGGCCTGTGACCATGCCTCCAACCTCAAGAAAAACAAAACGAAATAAGTGATTTGCCTTACGCTACAGTGAAGTCGAATTTAACGGCACTGGGGTCTTGATGTTACTCACTCATTCAAAGGTGATACCATTTTTGTATTATGTATATTTTCATTTACATAATAATTGCAAGGTTGTATATGGAACCATGATTATTCCTGAATGATGAAATGAGGGGGCCTAATTTCCATTATATCATTTTTACCACCTACATTTTTTGCAATGACCATGCATTAGTTTTATAACAAACAAACAAAAAAAAACCCCACCATTAACAAAACAAAACAAAAAATACACAAAAAATAAGCCTGTACTGGCAAGTGTCCACAAATTTTATCTCAGGGATATAACAGACTTAGTCTGAAACTTAGAAAGCCAGTTTATTTTATGGTGTCTGACCAACATCCTGATTTTAACTTTACAGGCATTCAAAGAAGCTTGTGAACACAGAGAGGGAACTGTGGTAGGTGCTTTTAGAAGTGGTTTTGCATTGTTGGGTGACCTTATTATGTTTTTAATAATATTTATATGGGAGCCACTCAATTTGTAATACTTGGTTCTTAATCTTTTCTAGATCACAGATTCATTTAAGAATTTGAAGAAAGGAAAACTTCTCTTTTCTAGAAAAATGCCCATATGTAAAAGAATATTGTTTTTAATTTAAATAATTTTTTAAAAAATGCCCATATATTTGTAAACTTACAATTCATCTTCCTATACATGCCAAAACGAATGTTTGGTTTTTGAGATGGGTTTGTTTAACTGAAAAGTTGATCTGTGTGAGATAACCGTTTTACAGCTCTTTTTGAGACAAGGCCTCACTATGCAGCCCTGGCTGGCCTCGAACTCAAGAGATTTGTGTCTCTACCTCTGCCTCTGGAGTGTTGGGATTAGTCCTGGGCCACTATGCCCAGCAATTTTACACCTTTTTCTGTGTCAGCTCCTTGAGTCAAAAAAGATGTTTTTCTAGTTTGCATACTAGGATTGTGAACATCAAATAGGTTCAACCCAGTCTCAACTCTCACCTTTGCTGTGTAAAGTTCCTTCAGGTCAACTTTCCAGCCTGATGCCACACTCAAGGAAAAGGGGTTGAGGGGCATCTCAGTGATCTCATGGTTTCTCTAACTCGCTTCAGTACAGCCAAAGAACCCGTAATCCAAAAAGAAAAAAAATGACATTGTTCTCAGTCATCCTCCTACCCTATTGCAACTGTGCTAATGGCTAGCTCAAGGCTGGCACTAAACAAGGGCAGAGTACAAAACCAAAGGGTTTGCAATGATAACTGAAAAACTCTTAGTGCAGGAAGACATGGAGCGGAAGCGAAGCACTGGCTGCTGGCTATCTCTCATTTCAGAACGGCTCACATTTATAGTATAGGGACAGTTCAGATCTTGGATGGATATTTTGCTAGGGAGAAAAAAGCAGCAATAGTAGGGGATCTATCCCTTCAGCTAAATGTTCCCATTCCTTCTACCAAATATACCCACACAAACACGGAAAGAGAAATGACCACTCAAAAGCTCGTACCTGATGCAGGCATCAGGCTCTTCTTGGCAGTCGAGGTTGCACATGAAACGTTCCCAGTGCAGCCAGCCCATAGTAGGAGTCCGCGCCAAGCCGTTGTTCAGTGCTTTGGCCCCGAGAATACTCCAGAAAACTAAGGCTAGGGGACGAAATGCAAGCTCACAGATCAGCCGCGGATCCCTGCTTAGAAGCTTCATGGTCACAAGACTATTTTGCTTCAGTTTCCTGCAGTTAACAGGGGACTTTAGATTTCTCCTTGGGCCGGACCAATCATAGATGGACTATTCAATAGTGACATCACCGTTTCTCCGGCAACTGGACCGTTATCGCCAGAGATGGACCAATGAACAATCACGTAAGACAAATATTAACCAATCACATTGGCGCTCTCTTTACCTTGTCCCACCCACTTTCCAAACCCGGAGGAAGTGCGGTACCTCAGTGATCCCGAGTTTAAGCCGAGAAGTTGCTCACGTGACCGAGATCTCACATGACGTAGGCGCTCACGTGACCAATCGCTTACGTGAGCAGAAGTAGTTCTGGTCGTCGTGTATCGTCTCGCTTTAGCCGTTTGAGGGAAGAAGGAGGATAATCCCCCCGGTTTCGTTGGAGGTTGGTGTGTGGGTGGGAACTGGGGGCCCCGGGTGGTGTTAAGGAAGAGCAGAGCGGAGTCCGGGGTCGCCTCCGCCTTTTTCGTGCTCGGCTCCCCCCCCCCTCCGTGTCCTCCTCCCCCCCTCCCCCTCCCCGAGTGCCGGGAAGCGGCCTGCGCTGCGCCTGGTGGGGAAATGGTGGACGGTCGTGACTGTGTGCGTGTTTTTGTGAGTCAGTTCGTGTGGCCGGATCTCGGGAGACCTTTTCCCCTCTCCGCCCGCAAGAGGGACCCATAAGGTGAAAAGCGTTTCAAAAACACGGCCCGGAGTTAGAAAAAAAAAAAAAAAAACATGCTGAGACCCGCGGTCGGAGTACCGCTCCATCCATTCAGTCGCTCAAGTATTCAAACTGCCCGATGGTCGCGAGGGGTCCCGAGTGAATTACACTCTTAAGAGTGTGAGCTAGGCAACTGCTGCGTGCACGGGAGGCGCCTAATAAATGCTTTTACTTAATTATTGGAACATTTGTTTTTCTCCTCATAACGATCGACGAGTTGGATTTTGGTCATTCGAAAAGTAATATATTCGTCTAAAAGGGACACAGTTCAGCACTACCCAACTCTTATTACAGTTACAAACAGTGTGCTGTAACACAGGTGTAAGTATACAGATTCGTAACTCACAAATCCTGGTTACTACGTTAGGTAACAGAACCTGGTGGCCTTCTCAGGAAATGTAAGGCAGCAAAACCTCCCAGCCACTAAGGGAGGGCTTATAGAAATCACCATCGTCCCTGGGGTGTCTTGTCAAATGATTCTTTCAGCAGACCGTTAAACCTGCACAAAAAAAATGAATAAATGGGGGGGGACCCAAAAACTCAGTAGCCACTGTTAATATTTGATGTCCAATCCCTATCAGTTCACAAGAAAGTTTTTTTTTAATTTTGTTGTATTTCCCATGTTTATATTTTTTTCTAAGATTACTTTTGTTCCAATACAGTGGGCTTAAAGGATTAAAACTATGAAAGTGTATAGTATTAAAAAGTGAAAGGCTACCTCTATTTCTTTGCCCTCCATTTGTTCTTAAAGTTTGTCTTAAACGAAGCTATTTTTCAGATCTACTCTCACACAGTCATGCACTTAGTTTATGCTTGTATTTTAATTGAAGTAGGATTATACTATATGCATTCATTCATTCAAAGGATTTTGGAAATCTTCCTAGGTAAGGGCAAATCTCCTTTGTAAGTTGTTGCATAGAACTCCATTTAAAGATTGAAATATAATTCATTCATCTCTGTTGATGGCTATTTAGTTTTCTGACTTTTCTGCCATTACAGTGCTGCAGCAAACATTTTAAAGTATTTCTCTCGACCAGAGAGTCTCCTGGAAGAAGCTCTAGCAGGGTCAAAGGGTATGTGGATTTTTATTTTTACATAATTGAGATTATAAAATGGCTTTGATCTTCAATCATTTAAAATTGTATAACTATATCAAATATATAATGTTCCTCTTTTCTTCCTAAAATGACTTTCAAACAATATATAGTTCAATAAGTCCTGCTCTTAATTTCAGATAATTCCTTAAGACACATACCTGAAGTGGATTTTCTGTCAGAAGGTGTGGTAAATATTACCAAAGTATTTTTCCAGAATAGTCATCAGTTTTCACTCTTCTAGGGAACTCTAGTTTGTGAATAATGTTGACTTATTGCCACTGTTTAATCTCCACGGTTTAGAGGTATTAAAATGTTTATTTTACTTTCAATTTCCAATGATTGAAGTTTGAACATTTCTCAGGCTTTTCCTCTATATATTCCTTTTCCCCTGTATGTAAATTTTTTTGAAGTTATGATTACATCATTTCCCTTTCTCTTTTCCTCTCTCCATACTCTCCCATGTTTAAACACCTCCCCACCTTGTTCTCTTTCAAATTTGTGGCCGTTTTCTCTTAGTTGTTACATATGTGTGTTTATTTATAAATACAACCTGCTCAGTCTGCAGAATGTTATTAGTATGCATGTTTTCGGGGCTGCATTTGGTATTAGATAACCAATTAATTTGCTCTTCCCGTGGGAAGACTATTTCTTCCACTATCAATATTCCTTAGTTGCCTGCATATATCCTCTTATTGTTTGTTTTGGGAATTGGGTCTCACTATCCAGCCCTGACTAGCCTGAAGCTTCTTGTGTAGATCAGGTTGGCCTTAAACTCACAGAAATCCATCTAGCAACTCTTTTTTTGGTGGGGAGGGTTCGAGACAGGGTTTCTCTGTGGCTTTGGAGGCTGTCCTAGAACTAGCTCTTGTAGACCAGGCTGGTTTTGAACTCACAGAATCCGGCTGCCTCTGTCTCCACCACTACCACCACCACTACCCCACCCGGCTTCACCTAGGAACTCTTAACACCCATAACCTTTTAGCTGGGCAGTGGTGGCACATGCCTTTAATCCCAGCACTCAGGAGGCAGAGGCAGGCAGATCTCTGGGAGTTCAAGGCCAGCCTGGTCTACAGAGTGAGTTCCAGGACAGCTAGGACTGTTTCACAAAGAAACCCTAACTCAAAAAAATATCCCTAATGTTATTATCAATTCCTGCAGATTCTACTTTTTTATTTAGATAGATCACATTTTTTTTTCCTTACTTCTGCTGCTATTTTAGTGAATCTCTTATCTCTCAGAGGTCATTCTTTAATTTGCTCTTTTGCTCTTCATCTAGTCCCCCTTCCTTCTGTTTGAATGCTCCAGTTGCCTGGGTGATAAGTCTGAAAGGGCTGTAGTGACATCACTCCTGTTTAAGATCCAGAAAAGGTGCTATATATGTATATACATATATATATTCCCCTCTCCACACCCAGCGTCAGAGCAGTAGTGTCCCGGTGTCTTAAGGTTTGGGGGAGGCATATGTCACACAGTGGTGTGAATACTAAATCATCATGCTTGTGAACCAGAGAAGAGTCTAGCCACCTCCTATTAAATCAGACCCTCAGAATTTCATCTCTTTGACAACCCTGTCTTTTGCTTTTTGTCCCCTTCCATTTCGTGCTCCACTAAACATTTTTATAAATTGTTTCTGGATCCCTGAACAGGATCATGCTAGTTTGTGTCAATTAACCATTCTGCCTCCAACTGATAACACTTCATCAGCCAATCCTTCCTTTATTCTGTCTGTTTGCACTTACCTTTGGTGAAGGCATACAGTTCTCCTGGTGGACTGTAAGCCCTTTCTGGACTCATTGATTCTTACATGTCAGAATGAGTACTGGACCTGGCATCTAAAACATGCTTGCATATGTAAAGTCCTGTTAATGTTTTTTCCATTTATCTCTTAGGCTTTAATAGTTCTGTATTTTATTGATTTGCATGCATTGTTTATATTGTTAGGGTGTTAATGGACTTGTATCTTCTTATGAGTTTTGTCTTGATTTAAAGAAATTTTTGACTTTTATATAATGAGATATAGTTATATTTTATTTGTTATTTTTAATTTTCTCTATGATGTTAATACATTGAATCAGTGCAGAAAATTTAAAATATTCAAAGATGTCTTAATATTTTCCATGTATATATCCATGGAAACAAGTCCTATTATATTGCTACCCAGAAATAATCACTATTAATTATACCTGATACATAATAGAAATGGAATGAGTAATTGTTAAGTGAGTGAATTAAATTTTATGCAGTCTTTTTGTTCATGTGGCTATCTTTTTAAAATATTACTGATGTGAACTTCTGTAACAGTGGGTTTCTTTGTTTCTCTTATTGTGTATAATTTTTGATGACAATAGTTTTCTAATTTTTTTAAAGCCACATTGAAATTGCGTTGAGCCAAGCTTGCCACCAAGAGCCCAACAGTCACCATGATGCTGAGCACAGAGGGCAGGGAGGGGTTCGTGGTGAAGGTCAGGGGCCTACCCTGGTCCTGCTCAGCTGAGGAAGTGATGCGCTTCTTCTCTGATTGCAAAATCCAAAATGGTACATCAGGTGTTCGTTTCATCTACACCAGAGAAGGCAGACCGAGCGGTGAAGCATTTGTCGAACTTGAATCTGAAGATGAAGTGAAATTGGCTTTAAAGAAAGACAGAGAAACCATGGGACACAGATATGTTGAAGTATTCAAGTCCAACAGTGTTGAAATGGATTGGGTGTTAAAGCATACAGGTCCAAATAGTCCTGATACTGCCAATGATGGTTTTGTACGGCTTAGAGGACTCCCATTTGGCTGTAGCAAGGAAGAAATTGTTCAGTTCTTTTCAGGGTTGGAAATTGTGCCAAATGGGATGACACTGCCGGTGGACTTTCAGGGGCGAAGCACAGGGGAGGCTTTCGTGCAGTTTGCTTCACAGGAGATAGCTGAAAAGGCCTTAAAGAAACACAAGGAAAGAATAGGGCACAGGTACATTGAAATCTTCAAGAGTAGCAGAGCTGAAGTCCGAACCCACTATGATCCCCCTCGAAAGCTTATGACTATGCAGCGCCCGGGTCCTTATGATAGGCCAGGGGCTGGAAGAGGGTATAATAGCATTGGCAGAGGAGCTGGGTTTGAAAGAATGAGGCGGGGTGCCTATGGTGGAGGCTATGGAGGCTATGATGACTATGGAGGCTATAATGACGGGTATGGTTTTGGGTCTGATAGATTTGGAAGAGACCTAAACTACTG